TGTAATAATATTGAATAATATTGCAATATTGTAATAATATTGAATACTATTGCAATATTGTAATAATATCGAATAATATTGCAATATTGTAATAATATTGAATAATATTGCAATATTGTAATAATATTGAATAATATTGAAATATTGTAATAATATTGAATAATGTTGCAATATTGTAATAATATTGAATAATATTGAAATATTGTAATAATATTGAATAATATTGCAATATTGTAATAATATTGAATAATATTGAAGTATTGTAATAATATTGCAATATTGTTATAACATTGAATAATATTGCAATATTTTAATAACATTGAATAATATTGCAATATTGTAACAACATTAAATAATATTGCAATATCGTATCATTTTATTATTGAGCACTTAGAATAACGATATACAGTGGCAGTATATCGATATGATTCAACATTTTTCAATAGCGTGATAATACGGATCGTTTCTAACATCGATATCTTCAGATGTTTTAGATTCTTGTTTTAAATTCTTGAGTCTTGAAAGCCTATATTAACTTTGAATCTTTAAAATCTTGACGAATGTCAGTAATTTACAATTAATATTTTACAAGGATCTTCAACGTGTTATCTCGTTAACATAATATATTAAAAAAAAAAAAATCCGGAAAGTTCGAGATATGGGAAACATAATAAACATATGTTATTCATTTGTACATGTTACATATTTATAAAATACTGGACAATTATCAAATATCATCTGAGATTATCAAGGATTTTTATGATTTTTCAAGACTTTCGAGTCTTCTTTCTTTTGATGAAATTCGTCATATATTCGACCCCTGTGTCTTTTTATCGGCTTATCAAATCATTGAGGATATCGTTTTCTAAGTAAAATTCGAGCCAAACCTGGTGACACCAAAACCAGCTTCTGCAGCCTGACTTCTGCAAGAGTTGACAATTTCGTCCTTATCATCGTCGCTGAACAACGCCGGCACGACGCCAGTCATCAGCATGTTGTTCACCAGTTCCAAGAAACTTTCGTCGACGACGTGAGCGCCAGTGAATAGGAACACGATCCTCCGATTCTCCACGCCGACCTTGTTGTAAAGCGTCCTCATGTCGTCGCGGAACGAAGCCTCGCCGTAGCCACGAGTCAGAGCGATCTCGAAAATTCGGAAGTCGGCCGCGTACGACGCTAATTTGATCACCGATTTCTTCCCACTTCCGCCGATACCGATCACCAGGACGTGACCCCTGTGCATCCTGAGCGCCCGGTGAACCCTGGTCAAATGCTCGAGCGCGTCGTTGAACAGGACCATGTGCAATTTCGTCACGTTCCTCTCGTTGTAGTCCTCGTAAATCTGAAAGGTCGCAGAGATTTTACAATTTTAGCTTCATGATTGCTGTTCAATTTTATGGCGGTGAGTGGAGTCTCATTTGGTTTATTTTCACCCTCAGCTCGCGCTGAAAATAACGTTGTAACCAAAAATGGGGTGACTCCGAGTGAAAATACGAGTCTTTTGTTTTTCGAGGAAATTGATCGTTTCTGTGCGAGTATTTAGTCATCTTCAACAATCATCGTGTAACTTGAAGGTTGACATATCCATATTGTTGGAGTTAGGCAGTTATTGCAAACGCTTCCAGCACACTTAGGACAACAATTTTCCATTATAAGAACGTCAAATTATTTTACGTCCCAGAAAATTTTAAATAGCTACAATTTAATATTTAATACCATTGATAATATTAACATCGATATTAATATTATTAAATATAATTATAATATAGTAATATACATTATTAATAATATTAGATAATAATAACATTAAACACTGGTAATAATAAGTTGTTAGTATAATATTTTATAATATTAGTATAATATTATTATAATAAATTATATATTAGTATAATATTATAATAATATTTTTCTCTTTTAGCAAGGGAATTTTGATCGCTAAGGATTAATTGCACAATCGTGCAAGAATATTTGAAATCGTTTCAGAATATTCAATTAAATGACCGTGAGTGGTTAGAATCTTTTATTTTCCATGAGATGATAACTACCTCCAACAACAAACTGTAGACAGCCTCGTAATCCAACAAATCTTCGTAAAATCGTGGTTCATCGTCATTCATCGCGTTCCTAAAATCACCGAACAACAGAGGGTCTCTCATCACGTACTCTACGATTTCACGCTGTTCTGCCCAAGTTTGTCCAATCTTCTCCTTCATGTATCCAAACACGACATTCTCATCCTACAATTGAGCCATGTATAAGATGTATTTACTAGAATATTTCGGATTTTGTTAGAATCGAATTAATTGATCAATTAATTTTCATCAAGTTGAGCAAATTTTTGGACCTTGTGAAATTTTAATTTTCAAATTTACTCGAATTCACTTGGAATTTGATTGTTCGAGATGTGTTTTTTCTTTCATTTTCTTTTTAACACATACTTCTTCGTCGATCAAACGATCGCATATGATTCTGGTGAACTCGTTCCTCCAAAGTCTAACGATCTGTTTCACGCTCGGAAGATAATCAGGGTGGGTTTGAAGAAGTCCAGCGGTAATTCTCGACAGGTCTCGCATGTTAAAGACGTAGTGGAATTTATTCGGCGTTGGTAATAATTCTGCGGTAACTTTCTGAAACAGATGGAAATTTTTATTAATTTTTATTAAGGAATCATTTCCAAGTAAGGAGAGATTTTTAAATTTTCCTTCCCTTATCTCTTGCAACTCTTATTTAAAGAAGAACTTCTTAGTTAAGGAAGAAGTATACCTGATAGAGGCTCAGGGTAACTTGCACTAAGGTTTCTGCAATTGCCTGCACCTCCTCCGAAAATATCTGCAGGTGTCCATTCAGTATGCTTGTGTAAATGTAATTCAGCGTCTCGTCTGCAGGGAATACAACGTTATAGACAGAGAACATGGAGATGAATCTTGGATCTACTTCGTTTCTTCCTCCACCAGGCTTTCCCATTGCTGCCAAGTAACCTTCAGAACACAGTAAATTCTTTGCAACCCGAATTTTCTTCATTCGTGCAAGAAGATAATTATAATTCATTATTAGTTCTTCCTTTTACTTAAGCTGTGAGATTTGGAAGGCAATGATTGTTATAAAAATACAAATTTGTTACAGTGTATGTGATAATATAGGAATAACATTTAGATAGAATTATTAGAAAAATTATAGTAAGTTATAGGAATAAAATTTAGATAGAATTATTAGAAAAATTGTAGTAAGTTATAGAATATATATGAGTTATAGAAAAATTATTTGAATCTAGTACCTATGTACACTGAGAACTTCAATAAGTAAATGAAGACATGTACACCGCTGCTATTTGAAAGTTTGGAATCAATTAATTTTAACTATAAATAAATCATTTCAATTTCTCTATAGATAATATATCTATTCCTATAGGTAATTTACATTGTTAATATTGGCACGTTTCTTGTATTTTAATATATTTTAAACGTGCATATAATTGATTCCAAACTTTTACGTGTTTTAATTGATGATTGAAAATTAAATAAGTTAACTGCGATATAAATTTTTGTCACTGTGTACATATAGCTACAATTAATAGAAAAATAATTCCAAATTTTTTTCTCGCTATTACACGCGTTAAAAAAGGGGGCACGTCGAGTGTAAAAAGATATGAAACATAAATATAAAAATAAATCGCAATAGTATTCAATTTTAGAAGAAATTAATATACTTAAAAGAAAGAAATTAACTTACACATATCTTTCATGTACATTAGAGAAAGATCCTTTCCACGATCGTAGAATCCACCCCTCTCGAATAAGAACTTGAGGAGCGCTATGGGTTGCTGGGTACCATAAGTGTCCACAAGTGGCATGTTCATGTCGTCGATGAAAAGTAACAACTTTTTACCAGGTGGTGGCCCGTAAATTTCTCTCGTTTTCTTCTCTACAACGGCCTCTATATTTCTTTGCACGTCCATCGAGGTTGTTCTCGATGAGAAATTGATCAAGAGCTGATTCTGAACCGAGAAACAACAGTTTGCTCTATAGTATGTACCTCTTTGACATCAAATTAGTGTTTCATACCTAAATAATCTGAATAATCTGAATGTTAAATTAATATCTAATGTCAAATTTAATCGTCTGAAGTGACAAAGGATGCAAATAATAATTATAGCAGCAGTGATACATATAGTAACAAGCAGTAATTATATACAGGGTGTTTCGTAACTTCGGGAGCTGATTGTACGCCTAAAAATAATGAAAAAAAGTCATATAAATATATGTCCTATCTGTCTTCGTTTATGAGA